GTGGTAAAATACACATTACACACTCTACCATCTTAACCGTTTTTAAGTGTATAGTTCAGTGGTGTTAAGTACATTCACAGTGTTGTACAACCATCACCACCATCCATTTCCAGAACTTTCTCATCATCCCAAACGGAAACTCTGAACCCATTAAACTCATTTCTTCCACCCGCCCCCAGCTCTTGATAACCACCATTCTACTCTGTCTCTATGAATTTGCCTATTCTAGGTAGTTAATATAAGTGAAATAATACATTATTTGTCCTTTTTGGTCTGGCTTATTTCATTTAACATAATGTCATCAAGGTTTATCCACGTTGTAACATGTATCGGAATTTCCTTCCTTTTTAAAGCAAAATAATATTCCTTTATTTGTATATACCACATTTTGTTTATTAATTTATCCATCTATAGACATTTGGGTTGTTTCAACCTTTTGGTTATTGTGAATAATGGTGCCATGAATGTTGGTGTATGAGTAACTGAGTTCCCGCTTTCAATTCTTTTGGGTATATACCCAGAAGTGAAACTGCTGGGCTATATGGTATCTGCGTTTAAATTTTGAGAAACCACCCTACTATTTTCCACAGTGGCTGCACCATTTTGCATTCTTCCAGAAATACACATGAGTTCCAATTTCTCCACATTTGTTGTTTTTATTTTTTTATAATAGCCATCCTAATGCTTCTGACATGGTATGTCATTGTAGTTTTGATTTGCATTTCCCTAATAGCTAGTAATGTTGAGCATATTCTCATGTTCTTATTAGCCATTTGTATATCTTCTTTGGAAAAGTAGGCATTTATGTCCTTTGCCCATTTTTTGAATTGGTTTGTTATGTATTTTTATTGTTGAGTTATAGAAGTTCTTTATGTATTCTGAATATTAATCCCTTATCAGATATATGCTTCCCAAATCTTTTCTCCCATTCTGTGAATTGTCTTTTCACTCTTTTGATGGTGTCTGACGCACAAAAGTTTTTAATATGATGGAGTCCAATTTATCCATTTTCTCTTTTGTTACCTGTGCTTTTGGTGTCATACCCAAGAAATCACTGCCAGATCCAATGTCATGAAGATTATTCCTTATATTTCCTTCTAGAGTTTTAAAGTTTCAGTTTTTACACTTAGTTCTTTGATCCATTTTGAGTTAATTTTTGTATGATGTGAAGTAAGGGCAGACTTCATTTTTTTGCATGTGAATATCTAGTTTTCTTAGTACAATTTGTTGGAAAGTCTGTCCTTTCCTCATAGAATAATCTTGATATTCCTGTTGAAAATCAATTGGCCATATATGCAGGTGGATATTTTTTAAGTATAATGGGAAGCTGTCGACATTAGTAATCAAGACTACAAGTCTCTACGTTGCTTTTCTTAAGCTCCTTTGGAAAGAGACTTGAAAGAGAAAGGAGAATTCTAAATTCCAAAAATCCGTTTATGAAGAGCAAAGCTTAAAAGCATGAACATTAAATTTTACGTAGGAAGAGGAAAGTCTAACAATGAACTCAAGGAAGAAAGTGAGCCTTTAATAGAGATGAAGAAGAAATACAAAGGTTTCCACAGAAAAAGAGAGAGAGAAAATGTAAGGTCAAAAGTTAGGTCCAGGCGGGGCGCGGTGGCTCACGCCTGTAATCGTAGCACTCTGGGAGGCCGAGGCAGGCAGATTGCTTAAGGTCAGGAGTTCAAAACCAGCCTGAGCAAGAGTGAGACCCCCGTCTCTACTAGAAATAGAAAGAAATTAATTGGCCAACTAATGTAGATAGAAAAAATTATTAGCCAGGCATGGTGGCACGTGCCTGTAGTCCCAGCTACTCGGGAGGCTGAGGCAGCAGGATCGCTTGAGCCCAGGAGTTTGAGGTTCCTGTGAGCTAGGCTGACGCCACCGCACTCACTCTAGTCTGGGCAACAAAGCGAGACTCTGTCTCAAAAAAAAAAAAAAGTCAGGTCCATGCTCTTACATGCCCTTACCCTTAGCACTGGGGATGGTGAGACTGCAAAGCATACGAGTGTGGAGCTCAGAGGTGAGGTCTTGGGCAGAGATGTAAATTGGGCATTCTCAGTATATGCTTTTATCAAAAGAAGTGGGAATGGATGCTAAATAGCCAAGAATCAATAAGCAAACAACAGGTCAATTGATAACAAATTGTGGTATGTCTATATAAGGGAATACTACTCAGCAATTAAAAGGAATTAACTGTTGTTACACACAACAGGATACATGAATATCAAAATAATTATGCTGAGTGAAAGAAGCCAGACAAAAAACAATATATACTGACTCATCAGATTGAATACATTAAATATGTCCATTTTTTTTGTATATCCACTATACCTCAATAACACTGTAAAAAAAGAGTATATTCTGTATGATTTCATTTAAATTATAGAAAAAGTAAACAAATCTATAGCAACAGAAAGCAAATCAGTGGTTGCGTGGTGGAGTTGAGTGGAGTGATGTGAAGGAGACAGTGCAAAGGGCAGGAGGAAATATTTGGGGATCATAAATATGTTCACTATCCCGAGTGTCAGACGTGGATATACATATGTCAAAATTTATTCAAGTTTTCATTTTCAATGTGTGCAATCTCTTGTATGTCAATAAAGCTGTGTTAAAGTAAAGTTGTTTTTGCTTTTGTGGCCACTTTTAAAATCTGTCCCCATTCTTTGTCAGAATTCCTATATCTTTCATCATGCCCCAGTAATCCTCTCCTCTCCCTTTGTACAGTAACAAGAAGGGAGCTCATGAGACTCACAGCCACACTCCCAAACTTCATGGTCAAGATTTCCCTTTGTGATAGGCACTGCTGGTAGCCTACCTGACAGCTGACTCCCTTCCCTTTTCTGTCAGGGCCCACCTTCCCACATTATAAGCTGATTAATGCCTGAACTTATAACCCAATCATGGCCAATGGCACCTAAGGAGAAGTCTTACTGTGGGCATTCTGGGAAAGATTTTCCACCTTGGTTAAAAGAGAGACACATGAAAAGAAATGTCCCTCCTTCCTTTGGATATTGTTATATAAAAAGGTGATGTTTACAGCTATGTGAGACTTTCCGCAACTATGAAGAGAAAACCAAGAATCTCAGAGAAGTCAACCAGAAGCCCTGACAATGTTTTACTCCTGAATTAACCAACCCTACAGCCACCTACCTCTGGATTTCTTGTAATGTACACTTATTTTTTAAGAAGCTACTTTAGTTGCATATTTTGTTACTTGCAGTTGAAAACAGACATGTATTTAATGACATTATTCGTCAATTAAAATAACTGACCTAAAATGATAACCTGAAAATGGGCAGCTGTGCACTTTTAACAACACCTACATTTTAGTCATGATATTTGGTTGTATCCTGTCTGAAGGAAAAAACGTATTAAGTCAATAAGGCAGTGACCCTTTCCATATCGATCCACCCAGCTCAGCTATTTTCTTTGCAGTAGAAACTAATGAATGCCTTGGGAGCACCTGCAGAAGGAGGCAACAGCAAGCTGTCAGCAACTCAGGAGCTATCCTGAGGGAACTGTGGCAAAGGAAGCGTCCATGTTTGCCTCCAGTTCTTTCTCATATAGTCCTGGGCTCAATGGCACCAAGAATTTGCCTAAATTGTTGCCTTTAGCATCTACAGGTTTAGTGTCCAAACTCACCCTCCTCTACACCTTCAGTAATGGTGGTTCCCACAACTGCCCACACAGTTGCAGGCAAAGGGTTGGAGGCAATTGCCTACCTTGCAAAATCAGATTGTGGAAGTAATATCCAGCCGGGAATCCAAGTCTGTGAAGTAGGCTGAAGCCCACACAGCTACTTAACAGAAAGAAGAAACATCTTCCCCTTGGGGCCCAAACAAAGATTTTTAAACCCTTGTAAAGCACTTTGCGAAACCTTTTATACATAGAGGAATCCTTTGTTAAAGTAGGTACAATCACGATTTGTTTTGCTGGGTTAGATGTTCATGTTGCTTTGAGGCAAATTTATATTTTATACTGGGTTTTGTATCAGTTTCTTAGATTTCCAGTTTTTAAAGGAGAGATGACCTTTTACTGATTCAATTGTTTAATTATATGCTTTCATGTGTATTCTTTTTGGTAACAAGATCATAATCCTTTTTCCTCCAGCAGCAAGCTTAGTGCTTTGCAGCCGGGACTTATAATGCTTGAGAGAAGAAAGAGTAATAAGACATGAAAATCAATAGCAAATTATAACATGTTCACAAACTGCTTTATGAATGCTTTTGTAAAACTTGCTATTGCTATTATCAATAAAAATAGTAACGATAGCTATCCTTATAATATAGGGAAAATATTATAGGTTTTCCTGTTTTTGTAACTGATTTTTCTGTGTGTGTGTAGGGGCCATTTCCAGAACTCTTACTCTAATTGGGCTGTCCAGTACTACCAGTTTTTTAAACTGAAATAAGTCAGGGAGTAGAAGACCAAGTAAATAAATATAACTTACTAGGAATGGGAGGCCCTTCCTTTTTTTTTTTTTTTTTTTTATATAGGGTCTCTGTAGCCCAGGCTGGAATGCAGTGGCCCAATCATATACCTCACTGTAATCCCGAATTCCTGGACTCCAGTGATCCTTCTGCCTCAGCCTCTGACCAGCTAGGACTACAGGCATGTGCCACCATGCCCCACTAATTTTGTAGAGATGGGGTCTCGCTATATTGCCCAGGCTGGTCTTTAACTCCCGGCCTCCAGTGATCCTCCAGCCTCAGCCTCCCGAAGTGCTGGGACTACAGGTGTGAGCCACAGAGCCCGGCCTGAGATCCTTCTTTTTTAGAGCTTTTTTTGTTCGTTTCTATCCGAGTAGATAACTCGTTTGCATATTCAATGAAATAGTTCTAGCTGAAGTACTCAGGAGCCTTTAAAACCTCTAGGGAAGTTACACAACTCCCAGGCATAAACTCGAGGTCGAGACTCCCGCATCTGCGCTTTGCACTAGTCCCGACTGCGCACTCGGAGGGGCGGGGCCAAGGACCGGAAGGGGCGGGGCCAGCCCTGAAGGCCCAAGAGCTGCCCCCGGACGTCGCGCTTCCTTTTCCGCGCTGCCGCCGAGGGGGTAAGGTTACCGAAGGAGCGTCCGTTATGCCGGCGGGACGGCGTCCGAGCTTGCGCGCCCGTAGCTGGGCTCTCGGAGGTGAGAGTCATCGCGGTCTTAGTTCCTCGTCTCCTGCGTGCGGGTTCCTCCGCTCGGCGGGTGCCGAGCGCGGCGCCTGCTTTCCCGCGGCCTCCGTCCCGTGTCCGGCCCCGCCGAGCCGCAGGCAGCAGGCGGCGCGCCCCGCGCCCCAGCGCCACGGGCTGGCGCTCTGCGCCGTCTGAGCAGTCGCCTCAGGGAGCAGCCACCGGTGCGTCTAGAGCCTACTCCATAAACCCATTTTGACTGTCAGCTCAGAAACTAGTGAGGGGCCTTCTGTGACTCGAGGGAAGCCGAGGCGCCTGGGAGGAACGGCCGCGTGGCTTCGCGCTCCGCCCGGCTCCGCCGGTCCGCGTTGTGTCTGCCGCAAAGCCGCGCGTGCGTGCGGCCTTGGCGGCTTCAGGGTCCTCCAAGTGGCCGGCTGATTTTTTCTTAATAAGGGAGCATTTTATTAAGGTGGGGGTGATTGTCTCTTCGGTGATAGGGTGACCCTTCCTTAACCGTACTTTTGTGTGGTTTTTTTTAATTTTATTTCATAAACGCAGTTTAACTGCCGACGGGGGTCCGTGCGGGTCACCAGCTATTAGTGGAGCTGGTTGGCGTTTGTCGCCGATCTCCCGTGTAAATAGGTTCTGAGACGAGGCCTCAGGCTGTAAATGCCTGCTGCACATGCAGATGTTTGCATTTACAGGTAGACACGCATTTCTGGACGTACACTGGCCAACAGCTGGCAGACTGGAAAAACATGCTACCGATTCAAAAACAAATTGTAAAAATGGTAAGGCATCGGTGAGATTTGGTATGTTTATGTGGTTTTTAACCCTTCCTCCCAAATTTGAAATACATTGCTTCACCTGAAATGAATAGTTAGCTTTCAACAGGACGAATGTGGTGGTTTTAAATTTATTTGGCATTCATCCTTAATTTCGAGCCATATGTGGCTTGAATTCCTTCTTCATTGCTAAGTGGTGGGATTTCTAGAAATTTCCAAGCGAAGTGTTTGATAAAAATAAAGGGATTGACGTGTTCTTACTGTAACTGTGAGCCGGAAAGATAACGGCCTTTTAGTCCGACAGGAGGCCCGTATTTCATGGTTTGGGTCTCCAACAACATCTTTCTTTGCTCTTTCGCAACTCTCCCTTCTTAGAAAACTTCCAGTCACTCTTTAATAAGAAAGACTGTATCGCAAGGCTATCGCAGAGGTAGCTAAGGCTGCCAAGCTGACCCCCGAAGTGCGGGCTTTGTTGACACAGTTTGAAATGTGAACGTGGACAGTAAGGTAGGCAAGACCAGTGGAAGTCACCACAGATTTCCTAATCAAGTAGCTTGGCCAAATTGGAAAGCGCAGTTACGCTCAGTTGTCCGGCTTTTTAATACTTACCTTGTAGCCATTTTTAGACTGAGAAACCTAAATTGAACATGCAATCAAATTTTGTCTTAAGGAAGCGAGATTTTAGCAGTATTTTTCAGTCCAAAACCATCCCAAGGCATAGAAGCCATAGCCTCAACTAAAATTGAATTTTTGTGGGGACTGTTAATTGCCATTTGTACCTAATATTGTGTGTGTGCACACACACACATGAACTGTAGCCTGTCACTATGTGACACAGGTTGCATATTTGGGATTGCAGTGAGGACTGGTGAGTTGGGAGAATAGTGTGGGTATTTAATTACTACTTGTTTTTTAATTAATGAACACTTAGCCTTTCTATGCGCATAATGGTGTAAAAGTTTGATACTTAGGTGTTTGACAGGTGCTTGCTATTCAGTTACAGACTGGGGAATAGCCCAGTATTTGGTACTAAAACTGTCAAGACTGGATAGGTTTTGAATTACCACTCTTTTTTTGTCCAATGGCGATTTAACAGGAACTTGCAATCTTCTGGTTTGGGAGTTTAGATAGGTTTGATTTTTGGACATGTAAATAGTTGATTGCTAAATATGGTCAGATTTCTCCTGACCTGCTGTTCTTAAATTCTTAGGATACGTCCCAGTAAATTACACTTTGTGAATTGTCATGTGTGTAATTGTTGCATTTTGGGTGTACCTAATTTGATAATTTAAAAAAAAATTCTGTTTAAGGTATCTGTTTGCAGGTCAGAAAATGAGAAAATGTAATTGTGTAATGTTCTGAAATGTAAACAAAAAAAAAGCTGTAAATAAAATTGAAAAAAGGGATTGTACAAAAATTTTGGAGCATAATAAATACAAAAAATCTGCCGATCCATTTAAGAGCTGTAATATTACCAGTACTGTGATCTGTTTGTCCCCAACTCCCATTACCCTGCCTCCTGTGTAGAGGTAAACATCATCTGGAATTTTGTGCCCATCAAGTCTCTTGGTGGTTGGGGAGAGTGGTAGTGGAACGGATAGCAGTTTTATAATACACATGCATCTCTAAGCGTACATTTTCTTAAGCTTTATAAAAATATACAAGTATGCATGTCGTCTGTAGTTCCTGTGAATCATAATATTAAACTGAAAATTTTCAAATCAGAATTATTCACAGCCAATAGTTTGTATTGGTCATACTGATTATGTGAAATACTATAGCATTTCAAGATGTGAAAATGATAAAATGTTTAGTAGGGTCCTAACTTGTATGTCTTCATAAATCATTTCCAGTAAATACTCCTGGGGTGCTGTATGGCTTGATCTGTGGCCCTGGCCATGTCCTTTGCAGTACCTGTGTACATTCAGTTAACTTGGGATTTCATTCTACAAGAATATGCCCAATAATTTGGCATTGTAATGTTTTTAGGTGAAAATTTGCACACAAGTTTCTATACATCTAACCTTTACCCTGGCTTAGTTCATCCTACTCAAGCTCTGAGACAGAAATGCAATGGCTCTGTATTCATTAGGACCATGTGTCTTATAATCAAAGCTGTGATGGTATCATAAAATGTTTACACCATTTTTCCTGCTTGAGAAAAGCTAATTTATGGAATTATTAGGTGCTAATCAGTCAAAGGAATTGTTGACATACTCAAGTTACTGTAGATGTTTTGAATTTGGGGTTTGTCAGTTACAACTATCAAAAAGTAATAAAGGGCTGAGCATGGTGGCTCATGCCTGTAATCCTAGCACTCTGGGAGGCTGAGGCAGGCGGATCGCTCAAGGTCAGGAGTTCGAAACTAGCCTGGGCAAGAGCGAGACCCCGTCTCTACTAAAAATAGAAAGAAGTTAATTGACCAACTAAAAAAATATATATGCAAAAAATTAGCCGGGCATGGTGGGACATGCCTGTAGTCCCAGCCACTTGGGAGGCTGAGGCAGTAGGATTGCTTGAGCCCAGGAGTTTGAGGTTGCTGTGAGCTAGGCTGATGCCACGGCACTCACTGTAGACTGGGCAACAAAGTGAGACTGGCTCAAAAAAAAAAAAGTAATAGAGCAAGAATTATATTCCTTTATTCCATTAGAGATGTATTGAACAACAGACTTTTATTAAAAAGTGGGTTCGAGTCTCAAAAGATAGGTTGCAAGTATGGTGTTTTGTGGTTCCTTAGAGGAATGAAATTCTCTTATTAGACCATTCCTTCATATAACATGCCAAACAAATGCAAGTACAAATGAGAATTGACAATGAAATATTCAATTTCCAGGTGAGAAAAAGCCTATGAGTTTTGAAGGTGTGTGAAGGTCATTGTGACAATGTTTTCCAAAATCCTATAGAAGATGGCAGTGAAAAAGCTAAGACCACCACTGCATGTATTAAAGGTACCAAAAGTTGTGTGCTTTTTTTTGTCCTTGTGCTATTGTTACTAAGGGGCAGTACCCCAAAATGTTTAATGTGCTCTTGATATTGATAAATTTAATACCTGGCACAATGATGACTTAAATTACTTTTTGCCGTTTACCCATCTGAGGGTGTCTTTGAAGAAATAATTTAAGACTGAGTTGCCAGTAATCTGTGTTGGTTATGATAATGGCATGTAATACAATTTTTTATTAAGAGGTTAAATGTTTTTTCTGTTTAGCAGATAGGTAGCTGCAGATGAGTGTACTTCAGCTGTGGTTTTTGAAAATACTTCTTCATCGCCTCAAGTAAGTAATTGTAACTTGTGAAGCAACTGTATCTGCTGACAGTTCAGAAACTCCAAAGGGTTGGGTCTAATTCCTGTTGAAGTTGTCTTTGCATGTCAGGGTATGGTTTCCTTTTCTTGGCATTAATTTTTTTTAAGGACACTACGCATATTGAGGTTATGTGATCACTTTATCTTTGATAATGGAATGTTTCTGATTTTTTTGAAGGTGTGGTATGCAACATTTGGAAGAAGGAATGAAGACTTCAAGAAAACACATGAACAGAAGCAAGTGATGCAAATGAATGTTTTACTTGATATTAACATCACAATAAATTATGCAGAAAATAGGTGTTTCACTAATTATTTTAATTGCTGGGCAGTAAAGTGTTTAAAATAGCACCATTCTCATAGTCACTACTAGTTAGACTTGTTTTTAACGTACTTTAAGGATATAATGTTCTTATCATTAACTAGCTCCTTTGTGGGTGATGATTCTCAGTTGAGGTAGACAGTAAGGAAATATTTCTTGTGCCACCAGTTTCCTTTTCTAGCCTTTGGAAATTTCTGGAGAGGCCTTTATTTTGCATACTTCATATCTGGCTTCCCCTTCATCATCCCCTGTTGTACCTGAAAAACAGGTGCTTGGAATCTTGACCTCTTTAATGCAATCAAATTGTCCCTTACAGGTAAAGGTTTCACTTTTCTGTGATATGCAGATTTTATTTAAAATTTAAATTTTATTCTTTAGTTTGCTTTCATCTTTATGAACCAAAAAATAATCCTAGTACAAGTAATAATTAGCAATTATGCTATGTTAAAAGAAACAGTGGCTGGGCAGGCAGGTCTGTCTGGGATTAAAAGAATTGACAAGAATCTTAAAACTGAATTTCTACCTGGGTGAAGCTTAAATTTAGCTAAATCTTTTTCCCCTTTTAAATTCCTTGCCTATATTAAGGATGCAATTTGCATATGGTAAGTCAAACACTAAAATTTGTACAGCAACATTCTAATCACTTCCCATCACAGGCAACATGTAAAAACCATTTGTGTTCTGTATTTCCCAATAGTAAAATGAAGGTTATTTTATGGATCCTAGTTTTATAGCATAGGGAAGTATTCTGCCTTCATCCCCTGAAGAACCAGAAAAGTTTGAGATGTACATGAGAAGCACAGGATAAGGGTCTTGCTAACAATATCAAATGGTAATATGTAAATATTTTGTTAAAAACTAGCTTTGCTTTCTGAAAACTTAATACTATGGTCTCTAGCTGGCACCAGTAGGTGTTCAATGTTGGTGGCTTCTAGATCCTATAGAGAGTGGGCAAGTGGTCCTGAATTTTGGTTAAGAAGCTCCTAAGTGCTGCTAATTTTGAAAGATCTTTTTTTTTATTTGAGTCACATGGAACCTGGACGGAACTGATCTTTTTTTAAAGCTTTGAAAGGTGAGAACTAAGAAAGATTTACGAAATTTACAAAATGGGTATATTTTCTCACAATGTCCTTGCCTTTTCAGAACAGATAACCTTTCCTCCAGAAGTGAAGACTGGGCTTGCAAATTGATTTCTTTGCCTTTTGGAACTTTTCTTGTAACTAGTCAGGGCTAAAGAGCCAATTTATAAATTACAGTTTCCTTGATTCCATGTAAATTTTCATTTTACCTGGCATGTTTATGTATATATAAGGAAAATTCCCATGGCTTTTCCTGACTCTATATGTAGGGCTTCTGAAACAGTACACGAAAAGGCCATAAACTTAAAGCTTAAGGTTATATAATTTTTTAATTTTTAAAAGTTTTTGATCTGTCAAGAGTCAGACAAAAGGTTATATAAATTATAGTTATTATTTGGCAAGTTCACAAGTAAGGGAAAAATAGTTTAAAGTTATTTGTAGATAAAGTGTTATTTCCATCTTGTGACAAATAGAGCAAACTACATAAAAGTTACCATTTTTCACACAGCTTAGCTTGCAACATTCCTTATGTTTTTATCTGTTCACCATTGATATTCTGGGCTAATCAGACAGAAGGGTTCTTTTAAAACAGTATTTTCCACAACTTTTATCACTTGTAAATTGTCCATATTGTTCCAAGTTTTAAAAGTCTGCTGTTGGCTATGAAGGTTTGGATCGGTATTTTTCCCATTAGTAATTAATCTTGAGGACACTATATTTTTAAAAGTAGTATTCTAATGTACTATACACAATATTATCTGAAGCATTATTTGAAAGTCAAATACTCACACTTTTTCCCACTGCTTAAAGTAGGAATGAAGAATTTCCTCAAATTATTCATCGCTAGATAAAACACCTGTCCCAGGTCCATATGTGGCAATAAACTGTTCAAGCTGTTGCTGGCACTGAGTTAGATAGAGATCCCTTTGCTCTAAATACTCTTCATTATACAAGTCAAATGGAAATACTGCATTTGGAGCAACACAAAACACAGTGGCCCCTAAATGAAAACGTAAATACAGTGTAAATGAGGAATACTCTAAAATGCTAAATGTGGAATCACTATCGAGGAAAATAATGAAAATTTAAAAATTAAAGTTCTAATCTATTCAGCAGCATACTTCAATAATATTTTGAATCTGACACTTGCATTTTGAAACCCAGGAAGCAGCTTTAGTAAAATACACAAACATTGGTACCAGGATAAACATTGCAGTACATTTCTCAGTCCTAAAACCACTCGCATAAAGGCAACTATATAAATCTATGGAATAGGATAGCCCCCAAATAAACCCTTGCATATATAGTTAAATTGATTCTTAACAAGAGTGGTAAGACCATTCTATGGGGAAGGATACTTTCCAACAAATTGTGCTGAGAAAATTGCGAATCTACATGCAAAAAGATGAAGGTGGACACTTAGGTTACATTATACACAAAAATTGTCTCAAAATGCAACAGCTAAAACTAAAGCTTAGAAGAAAATATAGGAAAGTTAAATGATTGGACTTGACAGTGATGTAAATGACACCAAAACGGGCACCAAAAGAAAAGATAAATTAGATCATATCAAAATTTAAAGCTACATTAGAAGATACAATTGGTGAAGAGGCAACCCATGGAATAGGAGAAATTATTTGTAAATCATATCTCTGATAAAGGGGTCTATAACTCACAAAGAGAACAACCTGATTTTTAAGAATGGGGGTCATGTGGGAGACTGGGATTCAGGAAAAATCAAATGAGGAAAGGACTAAAAAGGACATTTCTCCAAAGAGGATAAACATGACCTGACCAATAAGCATATGAGAAAGATGCTTGGCGTCACTAATTAGGGAAACACGAATCAAAACCTCATGAGATACTGCCTCTTACCCATAAGGATGACTATGGTAAAAATAGAAAGCAGAAAATGACAGGTGTTGATGATTTGTGGAGAAATTTGGAAACTTTGTGCAGTGTTGGGAATGCAAATGGTACATCCACTATGGAAAACAGTATGTTAGTTCACCAAAGAGATTAAACAAAATTACCATATAATCTAGCAAAATCTCACTTCCAGGTATATACTAAAAAGAACTGAGCAAAATCTCAAAGGATATTTGCATACTCATGTTCATAATAGTATTCATGGTAGCATAGGTGGAAGCAACCAAAGTGTCCATTGATACATGAATGGATAAAATGTGGTATATACATATTACATAATATGATTCAGCCGTAAAAGAAGGGAATTCTAATACATGCACAATATAGATGAACCTTGAGAACGTTGTGTTAAGTGAAATAAGTCAGTCACAAAAGGACAAATACTGTGTGATTCCTCTCATATAAGAGGTACCCAGAATAGTCAAATTCATAAAGACAATAGAATGATGGTTGCCAGAGGCTTGATAGAGAGGGAAATGGGGAGTTAGTGTTTAATGGGTACAGAGTTTCAGTTTGAGAAGATAAACTTCTGGAGATGATGGTGGTGGTGATTGCACAACAATGTGAATATATTTAACACCACTGAACTGTACACTTAAAAATGGTTAAGATAGTAGATTTTATATATACTTTAGAAACATTGACTTTTATTATAGGAGCTAGCTCTTATATTCTGTTTCATTCATTGATTCATTGAATGAGTACTTGAGTGTAGGAGGCCAGGAGTACCATTGTTACCCCTCTGCTGCTTCCAGACCATTCTTTCCCCTGCTTCCCTCTTGGTAGGTAAAAATCCTTTCTCCTTTGATGCTCAGTGCCACCTAGTTTTACAACCTTTTCCTCTTCCACAGTCAACATACCAGTTCTCAGCATTTGGCGCACTACCTTCCTTTCTTCCCTAATATCTGACATTCAGTGATTTCCATGCGAATTACCCATTTAACTCCTGACCTCCCTGTGTCCTACCCTTTTTCTTCTACCTCAGCCACACATTCCCACAGTCGCAGGAAATTGATATCTTACTTCAAAACCAAAATCCACTCCCCTACACTACCTCTTAACGCTTCCAGCTCAGTTGCTGTTCCAGGTCTTCCAACTCAGAGATCACCAATCTGCTTCCTCCCGTTCACTTCCTTCCTTAGCCTAAGAGTCCCTGCCTTGCCAGCCCCTACTCCCTTGCCCCTCTGCAACACTCTGCATGAACCCAACCATTCACTCTATGCTGGCACCGGGGCTGCTAGGCAGAAAATCACACAACTGGAATTTCTTCTTTTCATTTTAAATGAATCACAATAACTTCAACTGATCACTTGCACTGCCTGGCAACCCTGCTGAGTTTCCCTAGGACATTTCTCTAGCTCCCACAATGACTATTATATCCATTCTTCTCTCCTCAAACCTTTCATTTTCAGGTGGTGATCCTGAGCAAGGTATATGACCAAATCTACAAATCTACCTGGTTCTGTATCCACTTTCTTTTCTCCTAGTAAATGAAGAAGTGACTCATCTATCAGAAGCCAGTATTTTCACATGTACCCTGGGTCCCATCCCCTCTCACCTTTTTACGACTTCATTCCTAGATCTCCCCTTCTTCTGCAGTATCATTAATTTACTTTCCACTGCACATGATTTAATACCTCCTATCTTTAAAAATATAAAATCTCTTCCTGGACCACTCATCCTTCTCTACCTAATGCCCCATTTCTTTCCTCATCTCAGAATTGTCTATTTGTGCTGTCTCCATGTCCTCACCTCCATTCCCACTCCACTGAAGTAGCTCTGATCATGGCCACCTAAAACCTCTAGGTTATCAAATCTAATTTTACTCAAACTCTCAGTAGCATACAAGACACTTGATCATTCTGCTCCCTTCTAGAAACACCCTCCTTTCTTGGCTCTGTAACACCACACTTCATACATTCTAGCTGCTGCTTCTCAGTCTCCTTTATTAGTTCTCCTCAACCTCATTTCTAAATATTGGAATCTTCAAGAGCAGTCCTGGAATGCTCTCTAGTCTCTCTCTAGGTGATTTCATTCATTCCTTGATTTTGAATAACATTTCTGTGCTGATGATTCTAACTTATATTCCTAGGCCAGAACTGTCTTCCAAGCTACAAATTCTTCTATAGGATATCTTTAAGTTATATCTATTATTTGATTTTTCTCCCAAACCTTTTCTCTCTCTTTCCTCCCAGTCTTGGTAAATGGCACAATGATCCACTGAGTTGCTTAAGGCAAAAACCTAGGAGTTTTCCTTAATTCCTCCCTCTCCCCCACCCAACTCCTAAATCTAGCTCATGAGCACAACCTATTGGTTTTCGCATCCAAGGTGTAGCTCTAATTTACTAATTTCTCTCCATTTCTATTGACTCCCCCTCATCAAATCTCTCATTATCAATTGGACTATAACAACAATTTTCTAACTAGTCTCCCTGTTTCTGCTCTTAACCCCCTCTGTACCAACTCCATATTTGATATTTTTAAAAATATAATTGATCACATTAGTTCTTTGTTTAAAACAATGGCTTTCAATGGCTTTCATTACAATGGCTCTCCTTTCAATGGCTTCTCATTACACTTGGAATAAAATCACAGTTGTAAGCCTGGTGGCAGGTCCCCCTCCCCTCCCTAGATCAAAAAGAAAAGGCTCACGAGACCAGAACCACCAAGGACAACTTCCAGGCCCTGCTGAAAACAGCAACACCTGGTTGTCCACTCAGATAAAGTTTTCGGTTCCTGGATTCCGCAAATACTGCCAGCCCCTCCTATTTCTCAATAACCGCCGAAGATCACAGTGGAAAACCCCAGCTCTTCTCATCAAAAGTCCCTGGTCCGCCTCAAACAGTATAAAAGCCCTAACCCCCTCCAAATGGACATGACTTCTCGCCCCCCCTTGGGACCCTTGAACCTCACCCGGGAGTGCTCAAAAAAGTCACGTTGTGTGGCCCCACTCTCTCTATTTCTTTCACCACCGGAAAACTTTACACTAGTTTTCTACTGTGGTCTGAGGCCCTGCAAGATATGGCCCTACTTTCCTCTCCAACCTCAACAACTCTGCTTAACTATGTTTCAGCCACCCTGGCTTCCAGTTTCTTGAAAGCACCTATATAATGTAATTTCCCTCTACATTGACTTCTCATCCTTTAGGTGTCTGCTTAAATAAATATTACTTCCTTAGAGAGGTCTCTGTAAAAGCCAAAGTAAGACTTTTCTATTGTTCTTTCTCAGAACACACTGATGTTCTTCACAGCATCTATCTCAATTTATATTAGATATTTATCAGTTTATTTACTCTTTTTTTTTTTTTTTTTTGAGACAGAGTCTCGCTTGTTGCCCAGGCTAGAGTGAGTGCCGTGGCGTCAGCCTAGCTCACAGCAACCTCAAACTCCTGGGCTCAAGCAATCCTCCTGCCTCAGCCTCCCGAGTAGCTGGGACTACAGGCATGCGCCACCATGCCCGGCTAATTTTATATATATATTAGTTGGCCAATTAATTTCTTTCTATTTATAGTAGAGACGGGGTCTCGCTCTTGCTCAGGCTGGTTTCGAACTCCTGACCTCGAGCAATCCGCCCGCCTCAGCCTCCCAGAGTGCTAGGATTACAGGCGTGAGCCACTGTGCCCGGCTTATTTACTTTTTAATGTCTGTTCTCTCACTAGGTTGTAAGCTCCACCAGGTTAGAGACTGTTTGTTTCACAATTATTTATCTAGTCCTTAGCACCTAGAAATCATTCAATAAATATTGACTGAAAAAAACTGTGAATATTTAATTCAAATACTGATAATTATGAGGCATATTATGATAGCACGTAACATTATAATTTTAATGTTCATCAATCCTGAAATTATAATTAACCTCAAATTACCTTTACAGTTTTACTTTAATATATACAGGTATACCTCAGAGATATTGCAGTTTTGGTTCCAGATCACTGTAACAAAGTGAAAATTGCAATAAAGCAAGTCACATAAATTTTTTGTTTTCCCAGTGCACATAAAGTTATGTTTACACTATACTGTAGTCTATTAAGTCTATTTAGTATTATGTCTAAAAAAAGTTTATACTTTAATTAAAAAACACTTTATTGCTAAAACAATGTTAACAATCATCTGAACCTTCAGTGAGTCTTAATCTTTTGCTGGTGGAGTGTCTTGCCTCAATATTGATGGCTGATGACTGATCAGGGTGATGGCTGCTGAGGGTCAGGGTGGCTGTGGCAATTTCTTAAAATGAAACAATGATGTTTGCCATATCGATTGACTCTTCCTTTCATGAAATATTTCTCTGTAGCATGTAATACTGTTTGATACCATTTTACCCAAGTAGAACTTCTTTCAAAATTGGAGTCAATTCTCTCAAACCCTGCCACTACTTTATCAACAAAGTTTATGTAATATTCTGAATCATTTTGTTGTCATTTCAATAAAGTCCACAGCATCTTCACCAAAAGTAGATTCTATCTCAAGAAATCACTTTCTTTGCTCATCTATAAGAAGCAACTCCTTGATTTGGTCAATTTGTATCATGAGATTGTTGCAATTCCATCCCATCTTCAGGATCCAATTCTAATTCTAGTTCTCTTGCTATTTCCACTGCATCTGTAGTTACTTCCTCCACTGAAGTCTTGAAGCCCTCAAAGTCATCCATAAGGGTTAAAATCAACTTCTTCCAAACTTCTAGTAATGTGGATATTTTGACCTACACCCATGAATCATGAATGTTCTTAATGACATCTAGAATGAATTCTTTCTAGAAGGTTTTCAATTTACTTTGCCCAGATCCAGAAGAGAAATCATTATCTATGACAATTATATACTTATAAAATGTGTTTCTTAAATAATAAGACTTGAAAGTCAAAGTTACACCTTGACCCAAAAGCTGCAGAATGGACCTTGTGTTAACAGTATAAAAATAATATTTATCTCCTTGTACATCTCCACCAGAGCTCTTGGGTAGGTGCACTGTCAATGAGCAGTAATCTTTTGAAAGGAATCTTTTTTTCTGAGCAGTAGATCTCAGCAGTTGGCTTCAAATATTCAGTAAACTGTGCTGTAAACAGATGAGTTGTCATTCAAGTTTTGTTCTTCTATTTATACAGCATGGGAAGAGTAGATTTAGCATGATTTTTAAGGGCCCTAGAATTTTTTTAAGGGCCCTGGAAAATGAGCATTAGCTTCAACTTAAAGTCACCAGCTACATTAGCCACTAACAAGAGAGTCAGTCTGTCTTTTGAAGCTTTGATCCAGGCATTGACTTCTCCTTTCTAGCTATGAAAATCCTAGATGGCATCATCTTCCAATAGAAGACTGTTTGTTTCATCTACATGGAAAAATCTATTGTTTTGTGTAGCCACCTCCATCAACAATCTTAGCTAGATCTCCTAGATAACTTGTTGTAGCTTCTCCATCAGCACCTGCTGCTTCACCTTGCACTTTATGTTATGGAGATGGCTTCTTTCCTTCAACCTCATGAACCAACTCTAAATTAATATCTCATCTAATTCAACAAAGAACTTTGGGAGAATAATTCTCCTAACCTTTACCTTAAGAGCCTTTTTGTATTTTTATTAGCAAAAGCATAATAAGTGGTCGGGCGCGGTGGCTCACGCCTGGAATCCTAGCTCTCTGGGAGGCCAAGGCGGGCGTTCGAAACCAAGAGTTCGAAACCAGCCTGAGCAAGAGCGAGACCCCGTCTCTACTATAAATACAAAGAAATTAATTGGCCAACTAATATATATAGAAGAAATTGGCCGGGCATGGTGGCACATGCCTGTAGTCCCAGCTACTTGGGAGGCTGAGGCAGGAGGATCACTTGAGCCCAGGAGTTTGAAGTTGCTGTGAGCTAGGCTGATGCCACGGCACTCACTCTAGCCTGGGCGACACAGTGAGACTCTGTCTCAAAAAAAAAAAAAAGCATAAGTGCCATTAATTTCAAATAATTTAAATTCTATAGTCATAACATTAGGACTACCAATTCAGAGAAGGCAGCAATACAAGATGATCACATTTTCTTTCACTTTGTGCCCAACTCTGCTGTGGGGGATTGTTTGACAAATGTTGCATGTTATTTTAAAAAGAAGTTATTTCAAAATTATTGAAGTTATTATAAAATTATTTCACATATTGAATTAAGTACTTTTTTCCTCAGAAGTCTTTAAGCAATGCAAAAGTTCAAGTATGGAAACAATTATGCATAATAAGTAACTTAATATCAGATGATGATACTACCTAAAAACAATTATAATTAGTAAATGTTCAAATTCAAACAGGCATTACCTGATTGATATTGGTTATTCTTTAAAATAATATTTTAAAATATAGGTAACATTTTAATTTAAGAAACTAAGAATATTTAAGTTTAGGTAAAATTATTTGTAGTGATCATTAATTATTTAATACATTACCATATTTCAATGTGAGAGATGTTTCAAATAATAAGGCTGCAATTAGTACATCTTCTTTAACCACTTTGTTCCTTAAGTTCAGTCGAGCATGGGCTTCAGACAAGGAAACTCTAAAAAAGAAAATTGATGTCCATCAAAATATGTTGCTATTACAAAAAATAATACATTTTTTGGCAGGAACAAACCAAGACATGTGAACACTAGCTGCACTTAAAAGATCAGAATTTTTTTTTTTTGCTTCTTTTTCTTTATTTGTACAAATTTATGGAATACATATTTAATTTTGTTACATGCATAGATTGTACTACAGTCAAGTTCAGGCTATTTGGGTACCCATCACCCCAATAAGGTAGCTTATACCCATGAACTACTTCCTCATCTTCCACCCACAGCACCCTCTCACCCCTGTGAGGCTCTGTTGTCTATCCTTCCACTCCCTACGTCCACGTGTACACATGTTTTAGCACTCACTTATGAGTTAGAATGTGATATTTGACTTTCTGTCCTTGGCTTGTTTCACTTATAAATTGCTTATTTCTTAAAAACTTTTTTTTTCCTTAAAGAGATAGGATTTTTGTTCTAATTTTCATTAATATAGCTTTCAGAGCACAGCTAAAAATCTGAAATTAAAAAAAAAATGAACTCCTATGTTAGTTGCACTGTTTTGAATTCTCCATCTTCCTCTTTCTTGAATACATTCATCATTTTGTTGGATTGTATTCTTAAATAATTTTTAAGATATAGTAAATGAGAGATAAAATATCTGAGTCCTTAAATTCCAGAAATGTCTTTATTTTGTCCTCAGACTTGATTGAGCATTTGGTATAAATATTCTGGTCTTAATTTTCCCTTTGTGGGCTTAGCCTCAGTACTTTGTAGCACCAGTTGTGGCTGATACTTCTAACGCCAAACTAAGCTCATTTCTTTGTAGGCAATCTGCTTTTTCTCTCCCTTGGAAGCTTTTAATCTTTTCCTTATATTATTTTATGAGGATGCATCTTTTTTGTTTGTATCGCTTGGTACTTGGTTGTCTCTAAACTCCAGGGATTATTTCCTTCAACTCAGGGACATTTTCTATTATTTCTTTGAGAATTTCTTCTTCTTTTTTTATTTCAGCATATTATGGGGGTACAAATGTTAAGGTTATGTATATTGCCCATGCCCCCCATCCCCCCTCCCACTCGCCCGATACCCGATAAATGTTATTCCTATATGTCCACTTAAGTGTTGATCCATTAATACCAATTTGCTGGTGAGTACATGTGGTGCTTGTTTTTCCATTCTTGAGATACATCACTTAGTAGAATGGGTTCCAGCTCTATCCAGGAATATACAAGAGGTGCTATATCACCATTGTTTCTTAAAGCTGAATAGTACTCCACGGTATACATATACCATATTTTATTAAGCCACTCATGTATTGATGGCACCTGGGTTGTCTCCACACCTTTGCGATTGTGAACTGTGCTGCTATAAACATTTGAGTGCAGGTGTCCCATTTGTAGAGTGTCATTTGACCTTTTGGGTAGATGCCCAGTAGTGGAATTGCTGGATCAAATGGTAGATCTACTTGTATCGCTTTAAGGTATCTCCATATTGTTTCCCACAGGAGGCTGAACCAGTTTGCAGTCCCACCAGCAGTGTAGGAGTGTTCCTATCTCTCCGCATCCACGCCAACATTTATTGTTTGGGGACTTTTTGATAAAGGCCATTCTTACTGGAGATAAGTGATAGCTTGCAAAAATTTTCTCCCATTCTGTGGGTTGTCTGTTTGCTCTCTTGACAGTTTCTTTGGCTAGCAGAAGCTTTTTAATTTGATCAGGTCCCATTTATTTATTTTTGTTGCTGCTATTATTGCCTTTGGGGTCTTCTTCATAAATTCTTTGCCTAGGCCAATGTCTAGAAGAGTATTTCCAACGTTTTAGTTTCAAACCTAATGTTCAAGTCTGTTACCCAGTGTGAGTTGATTTTTGTGAGAGGTGACAGGTGTGGGTCCTGTTTCAGTCTTCTGCATGTGGCTATCCAGTTTTCCTAGCACCATTTATTGAATAAGCAGAATATTCTTACTTAAAAAAAATTTTAAGGCCGGGCGCGGTGGCTCACGCTTGTAATCCTAGCACTCTGGGAGGCCGAGGCGGGCGGATTGCTCAAGGTCAGGGGTTCGAAACCAGCCTGAGCAAGAGCGAGACCCCATCTCTACTATAAATACAAAGAAATTAATTGGCCAACTAATATATATAGAAAAAAGTTAGCCGGGCATGGTGGCGCATGCCTGTAGTCCCAGCTACTTGGGAGGCTGAGGCAGGAGGATCGGTTGAGCCCAGGAGTTTGAGGTTGCTGTGAGCTAGGCTGATGCCACGGCACTCACTCTAGCCTGGGCAACAAAGCGAGACTCTGTCTCAAAAAAAAAAAAAAATTTTAGTTTCTTTTTCAGAGCATTTTTTCCCTACAAACTTAAATAGACTGTTGCAGAACAAGCCAGTATCCTGACTTGTTCCAACAAATAGTTGGTTTCCATCAAGGCTTCTATTATATTTATCATTCCACACTCCCCTCCCTAGGTTCTGTTCAGATAAATACACAGCTGGGAAAATTAATCTAACTCAGTATATTGACCCTTTCTTCCTTGACCCTTTCAAGCGTCAAGTATCTTTGACCCTTTCTTCTAGCTCCTCATCTATCTGAAGTCCTCACATAATCTTGCAATTTCAGTATTGGAAGGAATCTTGGAGTTTAAAGTTCAAACTGCCATCAGATAACTGAATTTCTTCTACAACATCCCAGGCTACTCATTCTCCAGTCTCTCTCTCCTCTTTTTTTTTTTTTTTTTTTTTGAGACAGTGTCTTGCTTTGTTGCCCAGGCTAGAGTGAGTGCCATGGCATCAGCCTAGCTCACAGCAACCTTAGACTCCTGGGCTCAAGCAATCCTTCTGCCTCAGCCTCCCGAGTAGCTGGGACTACAGGTATGTGCCACCATGCCCGCTAATTTTTCTATATACTATTAGTTTGGCCAATTAATTTCTTTCTATTTATAGTAGAGACGGGGTCTCGCTCTTGCTCAGGCTGGTTTCGAACTCCTGACCTGGAGCAATCCACCCGCCTTGGCCTCCCAGAGTGCTAGGATTATAGGCATGAGCCACCGCGCCCGGCCTCTCCAGTCTCTTTTGAACCTTTTCTAGCATTCACTGCTTCATAAGGCAATTCCTGTATTTTTTATTTTTTAACCAGCTTCAATTACCTGAAAGATCTCCCTGAAGCTTTTATTAGGCAGAAGTGATGTACTTGAACAATTACTGGACTTGGCAATCAAAAAACCTAGACTGAGTCTCTATAATTTACAAACTGTGTGACTTTGTATAAATAATTTAGTTAATTAATTTATTTTTCCTGAAATCAGTTAGAGCTAATTAAGACCTTCATAGTTCAGTCAATATTTGCTTTATCATCACCCAGGAAATCATTTAATTTATAAGATTTTTTTAAAACTCAGCTATAAAGTGGGGGTAAATAAAGGCATTTGAAAATTCTGCAACTGACTATATCTATAACTAACTATAACCAAGGTTATACTAGTCTAAGCTGAAATTAATTTCACTGCAACTTCCATTCACTGGTCTGTTCTGTCTTCTGGAACCTCTTAAATGTGACAGCTCTTCAAACATTCAAAGATAACTTTTATAGTTGCCCTATGTTTTCTTTCCTTCTAAGTAAATATTTCTAGTTTTTCTTTAGTATAGTATGAGTTATACTTTTCAGCTCCTTACCATCCTGGCTACTCTCTTCATGGCCAGATTTTGTTAATACTCCTTTTCAGTACATTACCACAGGTGTGATTTAACCATCAGAGTAGAGATGAGGCAGAACTAGCATTTCGTTGCTCTTGATATATATTCTACTAACACAACTCTAAATTTCAGTATTATTAAGAGCCATATTGTATCTAAAGAATGAAATCTGAAGTCCTTTTCATATCTTTTCATATTAAGCCTCTTACCCTTTTCCCATCAATTCATACGTATACTAGGGAGTTTGGGGATCTAATAGAGGACTTTACATGTATCCTATTAACTTTCTTTTTGTTAGATTAAGATCATAATTCAAGGTAATTCAAAGTAAGATCATAATTAAAGGTCTCCCTAATGTTGCTCATGTACAAATTTTATTATCATGTTCCTGATGTTCTCATCCAAGCTCCTTCTAAAAATGCTGAGCAGAACAGAATACATATTGAGACTTTCAGGAAAAGAGAAAAGAATATTTATTGTTCAGCTCTGCTTCTCTAGAAAAGCAAAAATAGTGTAATTGGGTACCTGTCTATAGAAGTAGGAGAAAAATTTAAGGTTTATGACTCTTAAGGGTGGCAGTTCATTTACTCTGCTGTTTCATAAATGACCCTCAGTATTTATTTCCACAATGTGAAAAAGTAGTTAACATATTAAAATTAACTCTAATTTTTTTTTAGAGACAGGGTCTTGCTCTAGGGTGGGTGCAGTGGCACAATCATTGGTCACTGCATCCTCAAACTCCTGGGCTCAAGCAATCCTCCTGGGTAGCTGGAACTAAAGGTATGTTCATGGCTAATTTTTCTTATATTTTTAGAGACAGGGTCTTGCCATGTGCTCAGGTGGGTCTTGAACTCCTGGTCTCAAGCAATCCTGCCTCAGCCCCCTGAGTAGCTGGGATTACAGTTGTGAGCCACTATGCCCAGCAACTCTGCTTTATTCTTGAATAAATATAGTCATATATAAGCTGAATCTATGTGAGTTTAAATACAAAATATTTTTTACTACAGAGAAAAAAAATTATGAGAAAATAGGACTTTCAAAGCTTTTAAGCAGTATAATTTGATCTGAGTATTTTAAATATTACTTTAGAGAATACAAAGCATTATATAATTCTGTTTACCATTTTTAAATTTAAAAAGATTAAAACAATTTTTTTGAGACAAAGTCTTGATCTGTTGTATGGGCTAGAATGCAATGGCATGATCATAGCTTACTGCAACCTCAAACTCCTGTGCTCAAACGATTCTTTTGCCTCAGTCTCTGGAGTAGCTGGGACTACAGGCGCAGTGCCACTACAGCTAGCTAATTTTTTGATATTTTTTGTAGAGATAGTGTTTCGCTATGTTGCTCAGGCTGGTCTCAAACTCCTGGCCTCAAGCCATCTTCCCGTCTCAGCCTCCCAAAGTGCTGGGATTACTGGGGCACACTTCCGCACCCAGTCCCATTTTAAAACATTTATCAGAGAGTTGATTTCTACCTTAGTTTATATTTAGCATTTTTTCAGCTCTATCAAGATAAATTTACAGTTGGACAAATTAACTGCACATATCTATGTCTTACAGACCTATACTGGTATTTCCTACCAGTGCTTCATCTGTCTTATTTTATAAAATGCAGTTATAACAAGATATTTATATATTTAATGGATTATTTTACTGTTGGTCCTACTTCATAATTTGTTTGAGATTATACTTTAATATTGTATCAAGTAAAGTAATTGTCTGTCAATAGGAGACTATTTAAATTATGTTACAGCCACATCACAACAGAGTGAAGCTGTAATGCAGCTATTTAAAACAGAATGAGATAATTCTTTACATGTATGCATGATTCCATTTGGGCAAAAAGAATATACCTATCCATATAAAAAATATATATATATTTATATGCTTATATATGTTTAAATAATGTATTCATTTAACATATATAACATTTAAATAAAAATATATTCTATATATCACATTTAAATTACATATACATATATGCTAGTATTTGAATGAATAATTTCTTGAAGGATACATAAAAACTGTTAACAGTGATTATCTCTAGGGATTGGGGTAAGAATGGGTAGTGTTAGCAAGATATTTTACTCATTTTTAGACTTTTACAATGTTCATATTTTCTTTTATAATAAAAATTAGTTTTTAAAAACTTTTCAAGGAACAAAAATAGATGAGTCTATTAATGTTTCTAGAAGTATAAGGAATAATATACTTAAAAATTTTTTCTAGGTTCAATTACAAAATACCTGGAAATGTATTTTTTTAAAACATTTGAAATCAGTGTGATTTTTCTCAGACACATCTCATACAGGGGATCCAATAAAAATATATTTAGTGAAAAAAATTAGTGGAGGCTAAAATGATGTTACAATATAACAAAAGGAATTGTTAAGCCACTTTAAATTCTTTTGGAACAAGGTAAATTATAAACCAACCAAACAGCAATCAAGCAAACAGAGAAACAAGTAAAACAGATAAATTAAATGCATCATTTAAAAGTTAATACTGGCTTTTAAAATTTAAATACTTACAAATATCTTAATGCAGATGCTGAGAGTTTTGATCCATATATAGAATCTGTTCTGATTCTGCGACTTGCTAGATAATAGCCATGAATCATTCTTTCTGCTTCCAAGCTGAATTCTACATTCAAATTCTTTGCAAAAGCCAGTAGCTAAATTAAAGTGAAAAACTTAAGAGATTAAAGCTTTATTATAGAATCTACATAACAAAAATCAAACGTATACTGCCATTTCATTTTTAAAGTTTGCAGATTTTATTTGCATAAAATTGAGTAAATATCTGGAGCCATCCTGCAGTCACTAAGCACTTTAAATCATAGTATTATCAGACTGTGGCCAATGTGATTCAGAGGAAAAAAAAAAAATCATAGTATTATACTTGTAAAAAGTATTAAAGTTTACCCAGAATAATCTCCTCCCTCTCAGTGCAGAAATGTTCTGTGTAATGTAATTGAGTGACTTTTCAATGTCTTTGTTCCAGTGGGAGAAAGGCTCACCTCCTTTGGAATCTCATTTCCCTTCTGACTAGCTTTAATTCTTTATTTCCTTATAGTTTATTTTCTTACAACTCTCTCTCATTGGCCCTAGAGCTACTTGCCCTTAACACTGCAAAGAAGGGAGGTCTTGTGTTAACTGCTATGAAGGTGGGCCTTGGAGATTCAGTGAGATTTGGGTAGAGAATAATTTTCCAACACAATGATTATTGCTGTTTTCTCTGAGTTTTGTGGTTTTTTTCTCAGTTAGTTATTCCCAGTTCCTTAAGTCCTTACTCTATGACATAATTTCTAGATATTTTTTTAATTATCCTAGTTGTTTTTTTTTTTTTTTTTTTTTTTTTTGAGACAGAGTCTCGCTTTGTTGCCCAGGCTAGATTGAGTGCCGTGGTGTCTGTCAGCCTAGCTCACAACCTCAAACTACTGGGCTCAAGCAATCCTCCTGCCTCAGCCTCCCAAGTAGCTGGGACTACAGGCATGTGCCACCATTAGCCACCGGCTAATTTTTTCTAAAGATATTAGTTGGCCAATTAATTTATTTCTATTTATAATAGAGACGGGGTCTGGCTCTTGCTCAGGCTGGTTTCGAACTCCTGACGTCGAGCAATCCTCCCGCCTCGGCCTCCCAGAGTGCTAGGATTACAGGCGTGAGCCACCGCGCCCGGCCTGTTTTTTCACTTTTTCAACTCACAGAACCAAGGAAAATATTAACTATTATAAGGTTGCTATTAATAATATTTATATTTTAAATATAACTGTTTAAAAAGTACATGTATATATCCTGGATTGGTCATGTCCTGGATTGAATATGACGAATACCACAATAACAAATAGATATAATATAGAGAAAATATAGGCAAACCTTTAAACGAACACACCTCTAGAACAAACAGTAGGACATGAACTGGACATCATGGATTATACAGAAATTCTACCGAAAATTGGCAATAATCAGTCACTGAAGTTAACGTGCTGACTTCATCCAGCCTCACGGACAATTCTAAGATTGACCATACTTCTACCGACACAAGAAAGAAATAAATCATAAGATCATTTACAGACACATAAATAGAATACGATAACCATCGTATCTCAGATCACAGTGGATAAACTGATCAACCCAACAACTCACATTCTACCACCAAAAGTGCCATTAACAACTCCTACAAATGATCTTTCCAAATGAAAAATCAAGATGGAAATAAAAATTATGGAAAAGACAAGGAGCGAGACAGTCACCGTCAACTCTCTGGACACAGCAAAGCAGTTCTGAGAAGTTTACTCCTAAATGCTATAACCAAGACAAGAAGATCACAAATAGACATCTAATGAAACGAGTCAAGACTGGAAAAAGAGAACAGACCAACCCCAAACCCAGCAGAAGAAGTGGAATCACAAGATCAAATCAAACTAAACGAAATTGAAAACAGGAAGCTATTCAGGAGATTAATAATAACAAAAATTGTTCTTTGAAAAAATAAACAAAATTGACACACCATTGCAAGCTAACGTAAAAGCAGAAAGAGAATCTCCTAATAGCTCCATCAGGAACAAAAAAGGAGATATCACAACTGTCCAAAGAGAATACCAGATAACAATTCATGAATACTAACAAAATTTTTATGCACACAAACTAGAAAATGTGGAGAAAATGGACAAATTCTAGAAACACACCAGCCTCCTAGGTCAAACCAGGAAGAAATAGATTCTGAACAGACCAATGTCAACAGCTGAAATAAAACAGCAATTAAAAATCTCCTAAAAAAGAAAGTCGCAGATGGCTTCACACCTGAATTTACCAACTTACAAATTAAGAACTAGTATATCTTGCAAGAAACTTAATTCCACAAACATCGAGAGAAACGGAAAACCTCCCGACACCTTTATGAACAAATATTACTGTGACCACCAAAACCAGGAAAGGGATCAACAAAAAGAAACCTACACAAGACCAATATCCTAATGAATAATAAGATGCAAAAATTTCAACAAATCTTAGCTAACCGAATCCAGAATTATCAAAAACAATCACCAACGACAAAGTGGGCTTCATCCCAGGGATGCAGGATGGTTCCAACATGCCGTAAATCTATAAATGCAATTTAACGACATAAACAAGAAGCAAAAACAGACCACATATCTTCAATAGAGCAGAAAAATTTGACAAATTCACACCCCTTCCTCATGATTACGAACACTTAAGAAAATAGCATAAAGGGACATACCTAAAATGAACAAGCATATATGACAGACCCATACCCACATCATACTGATGGGGAAAAATTGAAATCATTCCGACTTAAACTGGAACCGTACGACAATGGCTGCCACATCTCTACTCTCTGTTCAACATAGTGCTGGAAGTCTTGTCTATAGCAATCACAGGAATGGAAATCAACAGGTATAATAGGGGAGAAGAGCATAAACTTTCATGTTTGCTGATGATATATATTGTATCTGAAGAACCCAAAGATTCCCAGAAACTCCTGGAACTGATCAATGAACTTTATAAAGTCACGATCACAAATCAATACACACGAATCAGAGGCATTCATATACGGCCAACCACAACCTACCACTTGAACACCAATCAAAGATCTCAGTTCCCTTCCATAGGCAACAAGATAAAAGTACTAGAATTACTTAACCAAGGACGTAAAAGCTCTACGGGAGAACTATGAAACTGAGGAGGAATAGCAGAGGATGTAAACAGATGGAAATCTAGCATGCCTCGTGGATGCGACTCATATCATCAAAATGGGGTCCTTTTTATACTCACCCAATGATCTACTCAGATTCAATGCAGATACTACTTCAAAATCCCATCAGCATTCTTCACAGATTAAGAAAAAATAATTTCGCTTCGTATGGACCAAAGAGACCCTGAATAGTCAAGAGCACTTCTAGGCCAACAAACAAAATGGGAGGCTTAAATGCAGATGATCAAACATATACTAAAACGTGTAGTAAATTAATCAATATGGTATGGCACCAAAATAGGAATATTGACCAGTGAACAGATGTAGAATCCTGATATAAACCATCCCCATATAGCCATCTAATCTTTGACAAAGCAGACAAAAACATACGCTGGGAAAAAGAATCCCCTTTCAATAAATGGCGGAAAACTGGATAGCCACCTGTAAGGCTAAAACAGGACCCACACCTTTCACCTCTCACAAAAACCAACTCACACTGATAACAGACTTAAACTCCAGGTATGAAATATTAAATCTAGAAAAAAAAAGTTTGGAAACACTCTCCTAGACATTGGCCTGGCAAAGTTTATGAAGAAGTCCCAAAGGCAATCACAGCCAGCAACAAAAATAATAAATGGGACATGATCAAACAAAGCTTCTGCCACAGCCAAAAGAAATAGTCATGAAAGTAAACAGACAACCTACAAATGGGAAAAATTTTTGCATCCTATGCCATCCGATAAGGGACTGATAACTAGAATATCCTTAGAACTCAGCACGAAATCAAGGAAGAAAAAAATCAAATACCCCATTAAAAAGTGGGCAAAGGACTTGACAGAAACTTCTAAAAGACAGAAGAATGGCCACAAACATATGAAAAATAGCTGAACATCTCTAATCATCAGGAGAATGCAAATCCAACGCCAATGAGATATCACTTAACCCCAGGAGAATGCCTTATCAAAAAATCTCCAAACAATAATCTGGCGTGGTTGCAGAGAGAGAGGAACACTCCTACACTGCTGGTGGGACTGCTAACTAGTTCACCCTCTGTGGAAAGCAATATGGAGATACCTTAAAGCGATACAAGTGAATCTACCATTTGATCCAGCAATCCCATGCGTGCCATCTACCAAATGATCCAATGACACCTACAAAAAAGAATCTGCACTCGAATGTTTATAGCAGCACAATTCATAATTGCAAGGCTGTGGAACAGCCCAAGTGCCATCATCAAGAATGGATTAATAAAATGTGGTATATGTAGTACCATGGAGTACTATTCAGCTCTAAGAAACAATGGTGATATATGCCACATCTTAATTTTCCTGGTTAGAAGCTGGAACCATACTACTAGTGAAGTATCCCAAGAATGGAAACAAGCCACCAGATATATTCTCCAGCAAACTGGTATTAACTGAGAGCATCTAAGTGGACACAATAGGTACTACAGTAATAGGATTGGGCAGGTGGAGGGGGGAGACTTGCCCATTACAACTGGGGCCAGCCGGGCTTTGTGTCCTCTGAGGTGGAGCCATTGGAGAATACAAGATGAGATTTGGGTAGACAGGAGACATCACAAATTTATCCACAACACACATAGATTATTGCTGTTTTACTCTGTTTGTGGTTTATTTTCTCAGTTAGTGTATTCCCAGTTCCTTCAGAGCTCTTACTGCTAACTGACATCATTTCTAGATATTTTTTTAATTATCTAGTTGTTTTTTCACTTTTTTTTTTTTTTTTGAGACAGAGCTTGCTTTGTTGACAGGTAGATTGAGTGCGGCTGTGTCCGTCAGCCTAGCTCACAGCCCTCCACAAACTCCCTGGGCTCAAGCAATCCTCCTGCGATTCACCTGGCTCAGCCTCGAGTAGCGTGGGACTACAGGCATGTGCCACCCATTAGCCACCGGCTAATTTTTTTCTAAAATACATATTAGTGTGGGGCCAATTAATTTATTTCTATTTATATAGAGACGGGGCCTGCTCTTGCTCAGGCTGGTTTAAACTCCTGACGTCGAGCCAATCTCCCGCTCGGCCGTCCCAGAGTGCTAGGATTACAGGCGTGAGCCACCGCGTCCTGCCTGTTTTTTCACTTTTTCAACTCATAGAACAAGGAAATATTAACTATCATAAGGTTGCTATTAATAATATTTATATTTTAATATAACTGGTTTAAAAAGTAGCATGTATATATCCTGGATTGGTCATGTCCTGGATTGAATATGTCTGGG